ATCGTGGCGCTTTCCAAAAGTACCATTTTTTGGCCACGTAATGCAGAAAACGTTCATTTTGGGTACTCTTTTGGGAAAAAATCTACCCAAAAAAAGTCGTTATTTTATCTAATATCTGTCTCCAAGACAAGATTAACACCACGATTTTTTGGCCACGAGATTTTGAAGACTTTATTTTTCAGAATTAAATGCAAATACGAGTAAATGAAATTTACAATCATTTAAAATTCTAGTGTAACTGAGTCGGGATTTTTTTTTTTTGGGTACTAATGGAAAAAATAATTAAAAAAAAAACCCTAAATTGTCATTCTTGTGGCGGTTTTCCGAAAGTACGATTCTTTGGCCACGGGATGCAAAAATTACCGTTTTTGGGTACTTTTGGTAAAAAATTTAACCCAAAAAAATCTTAGGCGTAATGTCTGGGTCCAAGACAAGATCACCGTCACAGTTTTTTGAGATTCGGCGTTCTAAAAGTACCATTTTTTGGCTACGAAATTTTGAAAACGCTTTCTATTTTTCACAATTAAATGCAAACAAATGAAATTTCGAAACACTCAATTAAAATTTAGGTGTCAAAAAAAAATAATAAAAAACGCTAAATTGTCATTATTAAAGCCAACATTTACGTCTAAGGACTTTGGTTTTTGATCTTGGAGGTTTTCCAAACATACAATTTTGTCCACAGGATGCGCAAAAATTGACATTTCGGGTACTTTTGGGCTAAATCTAACCGAAAATTTTTTCTTAAACCAATATTTGCGTCTAAGGTAACAATTACGCCACAATTTTTTTTGGACGCGTGTCCCAAAAGTACCATTTTTTGGCCACGAGATTTTGAAGACTTACTATTTTTCGGAATTAAATGTAAATAAATCAAATTTACAAATACTCGGTTAAAAATTTGGTATGATTGATTCGGCAATTTAAGCATCGGGAAGTGCCATTTTTGGGTACTTTTGGAAAAAAAATTAAAAAACCCTAAATTGTCATTATTAAACCAACATTTACGTCCAAGAATTTGAGATTTTTTATGGCAGCGGTTTTCGAAAGTACAATTCTTTAGCCACATGACACAAAAATTGCCGTTTTAGGGTACTTTTCGGAAAAATCTAACTCAAAAAAATCTTTCTTACACCTAATGTCTCCGTCCAAGACAAAATCACCGCTACAATTTTTCAAGACCTGGCATTCCAAAAGTACCATTTTTTGACCGTGAAATTTTGAAAAAGCTTTCTATTTTTAAAAATTAAATGCGAATAAATTAAATTTTCAAACACTCAATTGAAATTTCAGTGCGAAAAAAAAAACCTCTAAATTGTCATTATTAAACCCAACATTATTTACGTCTAAGGATTTTGGTTTTTGATGGTGGCGGTTTTCCGAAAATACAATTTTGGCCACTTTTGGGCAAAATCTAACCAGAAAAATTCTTTCTTAAACCTAATATTTGCGTCCAAGGCAACAATTACGTCCCAAAAGTACTATTTTTTGGCCACGAAATTTTGAAAAGGCTTATTAGTTTTCAGAATTAAATGTAAGTAGATCAAATTTAGAAACATTCAGTTAAAAATTTGGTGTGATTGATTCAGCAACTTAAGCACCGGGAAGTGCCATTTTTGGGTACTTTTGAAAAAAAAAAAAAATTTAAACCCTAAATTTTCATAATTAAAGTGAACATTTACGTCTACGAATATTAGGTTTTTGATAGTTGTGGTTTTCGGTAAGTACAATTTTTCGGCCATGGGACGCAAAAATTGCTGGTTTTGGGTACTTTTGGGAAAAATCCAACCAAAAAAACCTTTCTCAAACCTAATATCTGCGTCCAAGGCAAGATTAAACCAGCATTTTTTGGGACGCAGCGTTCCAAAAGTACCATTTTTTGGCTACCAGACTTTGAAAAAGTTTTCTATTTTTCAGAATTAAATATAAATAAATGAAATTTACAAATACTCATTTAAAAAATTGGTGGTGGAATTGGAAATTTACGCACCAGGAAGTACCATTTTTGAGTTCTTTTGAAAAAAATAAAAAATGAAAAACCCTTTGTGCCGGTTTTCCGAAAGTACATTTTTTTGGCCACCTGACGCAATAATTGCCGTTTTTGGGTATTTTTGGGACAAATTTACCCAAAAAATTCTTTCGTCACATATCTACGTCCAAGACACGATTAACGCCACCATTTTTTGGTCACAAGATTTTGACAGGAATTTCTATTTTCATAATTAAATGCAAGTAAATTAAAATTACACTCATTTAAAATTTTGGTATAATTGATTTGAGAATTTAAGCGCTGGGAGTGCCATTTTTGGGTACTTTTGAAAAAAATTATTGACAAAAAAGCCTAAATTGTCATTATTAAACCAACATTACGTCTAGGAAATATCAGGTTTTTGATTGTGGTTTTCGAAAATTTAAATTAAACCCAGATTTACGTCTAGGACGAGAAGATGAAAATCGCCATTGCTGGGGCGGGGCGTCCGCCCAAAATTACCATTTTTGGCCATAAAACTTGAAAAATAGCTTCGATTGTATAAATTATGTAAATAGAAAAAATTTGATAAATATTCAATACCGTTTTGCGTTAATTAACTTTAATATGCTTGTAATTAAAAAAGGGTACTTTTGAAAACCGACTAAAAATGAAAAAAACATTTTTTGGGGGCGATTTTTGCAAAATTTTTGGGCATTTTTCCAAACTAGAATTGGAGAAACAATAAATTGTGGATTTTTTAAAGAGCAGTACCCATCACTTGTGGGTAATTTGGTACTACACGGACCAATAAAATGTAAAAACTTGTAATCTTTCGAGTCGATTTTTGGGTACTTCGTAGACCTGCCCCCCGCCGCCCCCTCCCCGCGCGCCCCTTCAGCCCCTCGCCCCTACCTCACCCCCTAGTACACCATTAACTAACTTATAGTTCTATCACAGCTCTTGCAGATGCCATCACGCCCCCACCCCAGCGCCCCGCCCCCCTAGTGCGGGCTCTCCTCCTCGGTGTCCAGCGGGCTCGGGGACAGGAACTTCCTCACGTACTTGGGGTAGTGCGTCTTCTCGTGCGCCTTGAGTATCGTCGACCTCGAGAAGGTCTTCCCGCAGAGGGCGCACCTGAAGGGCCGCTCCCCCGTGTGCACCCTGCAGTGGTCCTTCATGTGGTGCCTCAGCTTGAAGGCCTTGCCGCAGAACTCGCACTTGAAGGGGCGGTCGCCGGTGTGGACCGGCAGGTGCGAGATCAGGCTGCTCACGTCCGGGAAGCTCTTGCCGCAGAACTTGCACAGCACGACGCCGCCCGCCGCCTCCAGCTCGGCGTCGGCGGTGGGCGGCTGGTCGGTGGGGTCCGGCGGCGGCGCGGCGCCCCACGGCGGCGGCAGCTGCTCGCGGTACTTGAGCGTCTCCAGCGAGTGCGACAGGATGTGCCGCGTCAGCTTGCTCTGGTGGGGGAAGGAGGTGCCGCAGTACATGCACGGGTAGAGGCGGGGCGAGCCTTCGCGGTCCAGCTCCTGCAACCAAGCGAGACATCAACTTCTGCGGGGGGGAGGGGTGCTTTGCCGTCCGAGAAGTTGACGCCGGCTGGCGCTGGAGCTGGGGGGAGGGGCCGCGGCGCGGGGCGGAGTCAACTTCCTGACGGCAAGGCGCAGGGAGGGGCTTCGAGAGGCGCACGGAGTGCGGTTGGAGGACTTGTTCGATCTACAGACCGGCGCGGATTCAGGCCAATGTCGACTCTAAGCGTTCAGAGGTGAATTGATGCACATCCACTGATAAGAAGTAACGGGTTTCCGGGCAAGAATTATTAGGTCGGGTTTTATAACAATGTTTAATTTTTCAAATTTTCGATTCTTTTTTTTATGATTTTTCACTTTTTTTCAGTGTTTCGATTTTCCAACCTTTAGATGTTTCAATTTCCAGATTTTTCAGTTTCTCGATTTCTCAATTTTTTTGTCTGCTCAATTTTTTATTCGCAATTTTTCTAGTTTTCATTTTAAATATGCAATCATAATTATTATAATTTTTAAACTCTTTCATTATTTCAATTTCCGATTTTAGATTTTTTTTAACTTTTTTATTTATTCAGTTTTTCAATTTGTCGATTTTTGGTTTTTCAGTTCTCGATTCGATTTGTTTTTTCTTCTTTCCAATTTTTCGATATGATTCGTTTTTTCTTCTTTCCAAGAAATAAAGATTTTGAAATTACGCATTACAATTGAACTGAGGGCGGGTGGGCGGGGCTTAAATTTTGCCCCTTATTCTTAATATCGATGGTCTTCTTCTCAAAGAAATATGATAATCGAAACCGGTTACTTCAAATCAGCCCTAAAATTACGAAAGTCAACGGGCGTTCCCGAAACATGCTTATAGATCAAATGGTCCCTAGATCAAACAAGTTCTCAGGCGACAATGTAGAAGAAAAATGGGGCTGACGTCACGGAAGCGCGGGAAAACCGCAACATTCAAATTTTCAAAAAAACAAGATTCAATATTTAAGCAAACCAAAAAAATTGGAGTACTTTTTAGGGCAAAACAATTACAAATCGGTACTATTGCGAACGTGATTGTGTAAACCACGAGAAAGTAGCCACTTTTGGGTAACCGAAACCGAAAGTATGACCCATAATTTAGTAGTTTGAACACTCGCGTCCTCCAAAGCCCACTTACATTATACACTTTTATCATCAGTAACAAAAACTTTAAAAATCCTACGAACACAAACGTGCGTTTTTTCCTTCACAACTGTCATTTTAAAGAAGCAAAATTAATTATTAACCGCAACGGCTCGCAAAGCGCTGAAATCGCAACCGTGACAAATGATCTAATTTTTGCATTCGTCGCAGAATTTTTCGTCGATTGTGTTGTCACTGGCGCACAAAAACCTCTCGACATTTCTAATCGAAGCGACATTAAATGAAGATGCTTTCTACAGCTAGCGGTAAAGGAAAGGTAGCGCTTTCGAAATGTCACTTTATCGATAAAGAAACGCAAAAACAAGAAGACGAACGATACTCACAGAATCGTGGGGGTGTCTAGAAAAGTCTGATGAACTCTCTCCTGTATTTTTGTCTTCGATACCTCCGCTCCAGTCAACTTCCTTCTTGAGGCTCTGAAACAATAACAACGGTGTAGGCCATTACCATATTTGCATAACGAGTAGGCACAGGCTAATTGTATTCTTTAATGACTCAATGCCGCCTAATACGCTGCAAAAACAAAACCCATATCGGCCGTTTTGCGGGTTTTGGCAAGTGCGTGAAAAGGAGAGGGGAATCGCCACGAAACAAAAAAGGCATTTATCGGGTCTTAGGTGATCTTGACGGTTTTAAAACTTTATATTCGTGTATACTGAGTCGCATGAGCCACATTTACGCATACGACCGTTGTAAATGGGTTATTGAAGTTATATTATTTTTCAGCTAACTTTTCTCTAAAATCTGAAACATCGTCGAGGTTAACGGTAAATTGCAGGATCCACATCCACACCGCACGAAAATCTCCTTGAAACCGTCTAAAATACCACCGAACAAGTCGAAAGGAGGTCGAAATAGTCAATTTCACACTCAAATGACCAGTTGCGAAACACACTTGTCTTAAAAATACATTAGATTTTGTTGTTAAAACGCAGTTAGTGCGGATTAACAAGCGGGCAAAAAATCAGCATTTCAAAACAGGTTTTTTAGGTTTTGCATTCGAGATGATTGCGATGCATTAATAAACGATAAATTTTGCCCACAAACACGACGCGATTCTGCGAATTTTTCCACGTTTGATAACGGATTTGTGTGACGAGAATATTAGTTTCGATTTTTGAGCTGCCAGCGTACCAGGAAACGGCGAAATTGCAAGATTGACCGGGTGGGAGCCTTTTTTCGCGCTGGATCGTAATCGGTTTGTTTTCCGGGAGAAGAGGAGGGGAATCGCTACAAGAGCAAAAACATGGCGGCGATTATTTTTTTTTTTTTTGTTAATGAATGGCAATTTGTTTACGATGTCGTCACCAATTTAACAAAAATAATGTGGCGATATTCTCCTCTTTTTTTAACTTATATTGTTTTGTTTTTATTTTTGTAAAGTCTAACTAGGAAAAATAGGAGATTCGACCAAACATCGGGGCGATTCCCCTCGTCTCGCTAGGGAGAAAGAGATCCTCACCAGAGGCACTTGTTGAACTGGCGGCATATTCGAAGGTCCCGGAAGAGGTTCACTAATAGGCGAGGGCAGTCTCGTGCTGCAGATAATCGGCGCATTGATTCCCGGGCAGGGCGCCGCCATATTGTTACTGTTACTGTGTATGGTCATGTCGCTGGGCCCGCAGTCACTCGTGAGGGGCGAACTGCCATGGGTGTTTTCGGGTGACGGTGGCCTCTTGTCGTCGTCCTGTTCCATCGGCGACCGGCAGACGCGCAGATTTTGTACGGGTGGCGACGGGGGCGGCTGGAGGCGGTCGTTCTCGTCGACTGAGGGCGAGCGCGAGCCTGGCGGACGGCGGATGAGCTCCGTGGGCTCCGTCTGTTCCGGCTCCTGCAAGCAAGTAGCGTTAGTCCGGAAGCGAGATGAGGGGACTCGCCACGTTCGAAGGTGTAGCGAGTCCCCTCTTCTTCTTTCGGCGATAGAGTCTTACCGTGTGCTTGTACTCCCGCGTCATCTCCGCCAACCCCTTGACTTTGAGGCTCTCGGCGGTCTTGAGGAGGGCCGATAGCTGGCAGTACTCGACGTTGACCTCCCCCTTGTACATGAATTCGATGAGGGTTCTCAGTTCAGCGAAGCGCACGTCCTTGAGGATGACGATGGGGTGTCTGCTCGGGTGGTCGACGAACAGCGTCTGGAAGTAGGAGGAACACGCGGACAGGACGACTTTGTGTGCTCGTATAGAGTGGCCCTCCGAGCAGGCCAGAGTTACGTCTACTAGACTTTCGTCACGGAGCAGTTGACTGAACACCCCGAGTAAATTGCTTTGATGATTATTCCACCTCAAACAGTAATGCTCGCTTCCCATCTCTCTGCACGCCGGTCAGCACTGGAAAGAAAAAATGCGTGAAAAACGGGCTCTGCTGACACGCTTTAGAAGGCGATCGATTCGGTGGGTTTTCGGAAAAGTGGGACATGGGACCGCCTTGCGTTCGCATGTACGCACAATGACCAGTTCGGTGGAAGCGAGAGCCAATCACGCTTTTTCCAGTCAAATTCCTCCAAGATTGTGTGTGCTAGGCGAGGACGAGGAATTGAAACGGTACGAGACGCGGACGGAAAATGGTGGCTGTTGGCGAAAACTAACTGATCTAGGCGGCGTTTTAACGCTACACGAGATAAGATAAAAATATGGCGGGGATTCGAGACGGTTGTAATAATTCGATCAGTAAAAAAATATACATACAGTGTATTTCATTTCAACGGCCACTAATTCATAATTTACCCTCATTCTGCGTATACGGAAGTTGTTTTACAATTCCAAGAAAAAAATCGCAAAATTTTCTAAGAGGCCTCGTATTAAAAATTGGTCTAAGGTTATTTCGACAGAACTATATTCGTATAATCCGAGACATCCCGCTTCTTTGAAAAATTATAAAAACTGTGTCGCGATTTTTATTTTCTGATAACCTCTGTAGATAAAGTAAAATTTTATAATGACATAAAAATAGATAATATTAAAAACGTCATGAAAGACAGTTGGAGAATTATAAATAGTCCTAGAAAAAATAAGACTACATCAAATAATTTTCAGATAACAACTGAAGACGGTACGGTTATAAGTAGCGATCCACAAGAGTTAAGTAACAGTTCAGTCGTTTTTTTTTTCAGATGTTCCAAACTCATTAAAACAGTCGAACTTAAACTGGATCATATAGGTGTTAAAGGTCTACCTAATAATGGGTTAAGATCACACCCAAAGCACTAGATCGCAAATTGTGAAAACGTTGGGGTCCATTTTGGGTTCCCTGTTATTCATCCTTTTCGTAAATGACCTCCCCGAATTTTTTACGTTATTAATCATAAATTATTAATATATGCCAGATGTCCTTCTTCAAAGTAAATGCTGTGACCAACTAATTAAAAAACTGCAATGACATTTCGAATGAATATTTAATACAAAATAGTCTGGATGCTCAATATTGATGAAACAACTGTAAAATTCATACAAAAAATATTTCTGGAAATGAACAAATTAAGAAAATTTGGGAAAAATTAGCTCAACTTGTTACATAATTCTTTTTTTTGCTGTACCTATTTAAAAGGGTTGTAGAAATAAGTCTACATATACTAAAAAAACAGGCAAAATGTAGCCCCGCCCACCCACCCTATCTCAATTGTAATGATTTTTTATTTGTCGTGAGTCAAGAGGGCGGAGCTTAACTGCAAAATCCTTATTTCTCTACGAGAAATTAAAAACATGTTTTTGAGTATCGTGTTATTCAAAAAATACTATGTATATTAAGAAAAAATTAAAACCAAAGATTAAGCCCCACCCACACCTGCCCTGATCTAAATAGTAATGAAGTTTTCATTCGTTGGCAGAGCTATATGGCAAAATCCATATTTCCTAACAAAAATTTACCATTTTAAACGTGTTTTAAGTTTCTAAGAATAAAAAAAATCATCACAATGGAGATGGGGTGGGTGGGTGGGGTTAATATTTTGCCTTTTTTCTTAATATACATGGTATTCTTTGAACAAGGCGATACTCAAAAACATGTTTTTAATTCCTTGTAAAGAAATGGGGATTTTGCAGTTAAGCTCACAGTATGAAACTTAAAATTTGTTTAAATTGGAAAATTTGTGTAGGAAATATCGTTTTTGCAATTAGGTTCCGCCCCATAATTGCAAAATCCATCATTATAACCATATTGTACGCTTCTTGTTGTGAAAAGATGGCTATGTATATTAAAAAAAAAAGGCAAAATATAAGCCCCACCCACTCGTCCTATCTCAATTCTGATGATTCTTTTACTCGTCGTAAGCCGAGGGGCGGAGTTTAATTGTAAAATCCTTATTTTTTACGAGAAATTACCATGTGAAATATGTTCTTAACTAATCGTGTTATACAAAGAAAACTAAATGTATCTATTAATTAAAAAATAACAGCAAAAGAGAAGCCCCACCCATCCGTCTCGATCTCAATCGTGATGAATTTTTCATTCGTTGTCAGACCGGGGGGCGGAGCCTAATTGCAAAATCGAAATTTCCCTATACAAATTTACCATTTTAAACAAGTTTTTCAGTTTCTAGTTGTGAAAAGAAGATTCCACATACCTATGTATTAAGAAAAAAGGGCAAAATGTAAGTCCTCCGTCTAGATTAACTGTAAGTGAACAAAATAAAGATATAAAATTATATAGTAAATTAGATAGAAATATTAAAAATTTACAATGCTTTAAAACATTTAAAAAACATATGATGGATTGATTACCTGTTACAGTAATTGATAATTTAGATTAATAGTATCTACGCTGCTATCTTATTGACGAATCTGACAGATCATGTAATCTTATGGACAATAAAGTGCATTTTTTATTATTTATTTATCTGATATCCAATATACAGAACTGATTATAATAATCTATAATTTCATTCCTAATTCTATGATTCAATAAATTGTCATTAAAAATATCAAATATATTATCTGGAATTACATAATTTAAAACAATTTAAAATTGGTGAATTGTAATGAAGAATTTTTATTTGACTAAGTAGATTGTCACTTTTAATTGAACCATTACGCAGTTTTTGAATAAATGTTAGGCTGGATACGTTTCTTCTACTCACTAGAGATTTTTCATTTAATAAAACCATGTTGTTCTTTAAAAATAGCATTAATTACATGGGAATATGTGAGATTAGAGAGAATACAGAAAGCCAACTACTAGGATCCTTAGATGTTTTTAAAATTAAGTTGAAAATACAAACCAGGGGTGTTCAGAAGCTACTAATACAATCATTTACATTGTTAGCCTTAATTTTTTCGACAGCCTTAACAATATCACCACTATCCATTGTAAATTTGTGTAAAATAGGAAAATTTTCACAACAATAGTTCAGATAGTAGATGGACAGCACCTTTTGTCACAGAAGCTACAAACACTATCACTGATATCACAACACTAAGTAAGGCTCGGATAGTATGCAAAATGCATATTTTTCCATATTCTACATATTTAACAATTTTTTTTGCATTTATTGCTTATTTTAATATTAAGTGTATTTTTATAGGTACATATTTTAAAATTTTTGCTGCATTTTTCGTGGTAATTAGCAAAATATTTAATTTTAATACAGTTGGTTATTGGCAGTATGCAGGTAAATAAGTACCAACCTTTTCTAGTAATGCGACAGGTTTTTCCAAGACTTCATCTATGGGCACCCCCAATTTGGCGTATTACTGAAATTCTTTGTAGATAATTTTGTTGTTTAATGTTACTGTCACGCAAAGGTACATATTGTAAAATTATTATATGTAGCATATTATTTTATTGCTAGATATTTACCGATCAAGTGCATATTTTTGTAAAATTTTCAAATTGTACCTTTATTCAGGAAATACCAAGACATTTCGGTAGAATCTCTACTTGGAAAAACCAGCAATTAAGACATCCTCATCCGAACTAGAGGCATTCCGTTTATTGGTACATTGAATATGCCATCTCCGGCTTAAAATTATCTTAATTCCCCCTTATTTAACTCTTCATGTAGCATCCTTCTATCAATTATTCACTTTGTCATTTACCTGTTTCATTCTTAATTTTGTCAGTTTTAACGTTTTTTCTAAACATCTAAAAATTTGGTCGGATGCAACGGCATTTTTTCCGCAAAATCAAGATAACAGCAATCTTTTCATCTTATCGCGATGACTAAAAACTTATCGGAGCTCAAAACTGACAAATAGAATTATTACGAAAGTCGAAATTAACTATGTAACTATGATTGTACATTTTAGAAAAATAAAAATAATTTGGTCAGGGTGCCGGTATTATAATGCTCACCCTGTACAAGGTGTTGTTCAAATGGAACACCTCTATTTTTTTAGAGAGTATGTCAATTGCCAATAAAAGATCTGCCAAAATCAGTCCTACCTTAACAAGTACTGTTCCCGCCCACCCACCCTCTTCTCATTCCAACGACAAATTTTATTCCTTTTTAGTATACGTTCCACCTTTCATTCAGAGCAGATAAAATAATTACTGAAATGGAGGCGGGGTCAATTATTTGTTCTTCTGTAGAGTGTAATTGAGAAATGATAGTCCTACACTGTAAAAATTAAAAATTCAGTTCTGCCATTTTTTAAAATGGAAGTTTGTATTTTGTCCATAATTTTTTAATTAGCTTGCCTCAAATGGAACACTTTTATTTTTTAGAGAGTATGTCATTTGCCAATAAAAGATCTGCCAAAATCAGTCCTACCTTAGCAAGTACTAGCCCCGCCCACCCACCCTCCTCTCATTCGAACGACAAATTTTATTCCTGTTTGGTATACGTTCCACCTTTCATTCAGAGCAAATAAAATAATGACTGAAATGGAGGCGGGGTGGGTGGGCGGGATTAATTATTTGTTCTTCTGCACAGTCGAATTGCGAAATAGTAGTACCTAGACTGTAAAAATTAAAAAATCAGTTCTTTCATTTTTTAAGATGGAAGATTGCATTTTGTACATAATTTTATAGTTAGCTTGCCTCAAATGGAACACTTTTATTTTTTAGAGAGTATGTCATTTGCCAATAAAAGATCTGCCAAAATCAGTCCTACCTTAGCAAGTACTGAGCCCGCCCACCCATCCTCTTCTCATTCTAACGACGAATTTTATTCCTGTATAGTTACACCTTTCATTCAGAGCAGATAAAATAATTATTGAAATGAAGGCCGGGTGGGTGGGCGGGGTTAATTATTTGTTCTTCTGTAGAGTGGAATTCAGAAATAATAGTACCTAGACTGTAAAAATTAAAAATTAATTTCTGCTATAAAATGGAAGATTGCATTTTGTACATAATTTTTTTGTCAGCTTGCCTCAATATACGTTTAAAAAATTAA